AGGTGGCTATGGAGGCTTCTACAACAGTGATGGATATGGAGGAAATTATAACTCCCAAGGGGTTGACTGGTGGGGTAACTGAACCTGCTTTGCAGTAGGTTACCCTGCCAAACAAGCTAATATGGAAACCACATGTAACTTAGCCAGACTATACCTTGTGTAGCTTCAAGAACTCGCAGTACATTACCAGCTGTGATTCTCCACTGAAATTTTTTTTTTAAGGGAGCTCAAGGTCACATGAAGAAATGGAAGGAACAATCAGCAGCCCTGTTCGGAAGGTGGTTTAAAGACTTCATTGCTGTAGTTTGGATTAACTCCCCTCCCACCTATCCCCATCCCAAACTGCATTTATAATTTTGTGACTGAGGATCATTTGTTTGTTAATGTACTGTGCCTTTAACTTTAGACAACTTTTTATTTTGATGTCCTGTTGGCTCAGTAATGCTCAAGATACCAATTGTTTTGACAAAATAAATTTACTGAACTTGGGCTAAAATCAAACCTTGGCACACAGGTGTGATACAACTTAACAGGAATCATCGATTCATCCATAAATACTATAAGGAAAAACTTAAGCGGTAGCCTGCATTAGGGCTTTTTGATACTTGCAGATTGGGGGAAAACAAATGTCTTAAAGCATATTAATGGAATTAGTTTCTAATGTGGCAAACTGTATTAAGTTAAAGTTCTGATTTGCTCACTCTATCCTGGATAGGTATTTAGAACCTGATAGTCTTTAAACAAGCCATTCCAGTCATGATGAGGTGATGTATGAATATACATGCATACATTCAAAGCACTGTTTTCAAAGTTAATGCAAGTAAATACAGCAATTTCTCTTTCAATGTTTAGGCAGATCATTAATTATGAGCTAGCCAAATGTGGGCATACTATTACAGGGAAAGTTTAAAGGTCTGATAACTTGAAATAGGTTTTTAGGAGAATTCATCTACTTAGACTTTTTAAATGCCTGCCATAAATAAAATTGAGATGGTAGAATGGCTGACCACAGCAATGACCAGCCCTCATAATAGGGCTCTGGATGATTTTTGGTCTAATAACGCATGCTAGTGTTGATGTTTTTTGGTCAAGAGGGTATGAACAGGAAGAATTAAGCAGCAGGCTTTATTTTAAATGCCGATTCACATTACTCTGTTCAAGCTGCGTTGAGATGTTAAACTGGCTTACTATAGACTTTGTAAAAAATGGCTCCAGAAGAGTAACAAACTGAAATCTTTTGAGATCACACAGGTTGGAAATATGTACATAACTGCACAAGGTGTCAATTCTGCTACACAGTGCAGTTTTAGTCAGTTTTAGTTGCATAGGTTTCCATTGTATTTATAGTCTGTTTATGCTAAATCTGGCCAAAGATGAGCATTGTCCACCACTAAAATGCCTCTGCCACTTTGAATTCTGTGCTAATTTTGTGGCCAGAATGCGGTGATCAAAAGGCTCAATCTTTTTACAGTGGCATAGGAAGACGGCAAAAATTTCCTAAAGTGCAATAGATTTTCAAGTGTATTGTGCCTTGTTCTAAAACTTTTATTAAGTAGGTGCACTTGACAGTATTGAGGTCATTTGTTATGGTGCTATTTCAATTAGTCTAGGTTTAGGCCCTTATACATTTTGCCCATAACTTTTTACAAAGTACTTCTTTTATTGCACATTCAGAGAATTTTATGTATATGTCTTGTGTGCGTGTCCTTAAACTTCCAATCTTATTTTGTCTCTTGGAGATTGTTGAACGCAGCTTGTCTAGGAAGGGGATGGGACTAGATTCTAAAAATTTATTTGGGACCATGGGAATGATAGTTGGGAAGAAAACTATTTGCACACGACAGATTTCTAGATACTTTTTGCTGCTAGTTTTATGTAATATTTATTGAACATTTTGACAAATATTTATTTTTGTAAGCCTAAAAGTGATTCTTTGAAAGTTTAAAGAAACTTGACCAAAAGACAGTATAAAAACACTGGCACTTGAATGTTGAATGTCACCGTATGCGTGAAATTATATATTTCGGGGTAGTGTGAGCTTTTAATGTTAAGTCATATTAAACTCTTAAGTCAAATTAAGCAGACCCGGCATTGGCAGTGTAGCCATAACTTTCTGATGTTAGTAAAAACAAAATTGGCAACTTGAAATTAAATCATGCCAAGGTTTTGATACACTTGTCTTAAGATAAAAATGAAACACTTCAAAACACTGATATGAAGTGTCCAGATTCTCAGATGTTTGTTGCGTGAGTTTTGTTTAGTTGTGTGTTTTTTTGTTTTTTTTTTTTTTTCAGTGAATGTCTGGCACATTGCAATCCTCAAACATGTGGTTATCTTTGTTGTATTGGCATACTCGGTGACTTGGACATTCAGCAATAGTATTGGAGCAAGTTTTCTCAGCAAGCAATATTTTCAGTTAATAATGTTTCAAAATTGTAAGAGTGGATTTAAACTTGCTGAATGTAAAGATTGAACCTCAGGTCACTGTAGCTTTAGTAATTGCTTATTGTATTAGTTTAGATGCTAGTACTGCATGTGCTGTGCATATTCTGATTTTATTAAAATAAAAAAGTTGAACTGCACAGTCTCCTTTGTTGCTGTTAATTATGGTTCATTATTAGGAGAGGTGAAAATAAAGTTGTGCTTTTGCCTGGAAAATTGTTAAAATGTAATTTCTTGGTTGCAGTACAGTGCTTACTTGAGATGCCTCATTAGAAACAGTAACTCTGGTACCATAAATCCAATAAATAACAATGTTAATAGTTTGAAATTCTGTGAACAGGATTTTTTGTAAAATGGAATTCTAAAGGCTTTTTATCAGTGTACATGTATGTTGCAAATGGGTTTATAAGAAGCTTAATATAGGGTGAGAATCTTGGAATCATTTGACTTAAAAGGTGATTAAACAGAATGAAATAGGTAAAAGTTCATTTTATTAGTAATTCAACAAGTGAGGTTTATTTAAGGATCAAGAATGTATTTGGAACAGGGCAAGGGTCATGGTGTGAGCACCACTTCACCTTGGGTTTTATTTACTGACATCCTTTGTTACCACACAGTGCTGCAGGCAGCCACTAACTAAAAAATGGCATGAGAGCAGTAACTGCATAGATGTTAACCCCTGAGGTAGAGCTTAGGTTGACCCAAATAAATTAACTATTTTTAATGTATATTTTTCATTAGACTTTTAGAGTAGTTTGAGGTTTAAAGAAGATGTAAGTAGAAAGTATTAGAGAATTATATCCCTTCTCTCTGGCAGTCTTACTCAGATTTGCCTCAGTGTGTTAGATTTGTAACATTTGATAATCAGTATTGGTATATTATTAACCAAACATTATAGTTTACTTTTAAGGTTCATTCTTTTGTGTCATATGGTATTAATGGCTTTTGACAAATTTATAATGTGTCCTGTATCTATCACTACAGTATCACAGAATAGTTCACTTAACTGCCATCAAGTTAATTCCAACTCGTCGATCCCCGTTGGGTTTCCAAGGCTTACAGAAGCAAGGTGCCTCACCTTTGGCAGAGCAGCTAGTAGGTTTGAACCACCAGCCTTTTGATTAGCAGCCAAATGGCTTAGCCATTACACCACTAGAGCTCCTTACAGAGTAGGTACACGGTACTATTAACATTAAAAATCTGTTCCACCTATTCTTCCCTCTTCCCCTGTCCCAATCCCTGGCAACCACCAATCTTTTACTATCTGCTCACATTTCTTTTAGAAAGATCAACACAACACTGGTCCTTAGGAGGCAGAGGTCAAAAATGTCCCAGATAGCCAACTATTCCAAACTGCTGTACCACTCCATCTGTAGCAACAGCTCATCCCCTCAGTACTTACTCTTCCTCCAGTCTTAAGGTTCCATACTTTGTGTATTTCATGTAACACAGAACTCGTGAACTGCCGAGGAAATGGCCCACACAGTTGTGGACACTGACAAGTCTCAAATCCATGGGTCAGATGTTGAGTCTCTTCACTCCTGGTTGTAGGGGCTGACATACCCAAAGTGGCCAACCAAAGGTCTGGCTGCTGTCAAAAGCCCCTAAGAGCTAGGGGTGGGATGATGACGGCCTGGTGACTTGACTCACATCCTTTAGCAAGGTGGGACTCGGGGTACATTATACCCTAATCCTGCCTCAATATAGTGGACAACAACTCATCCCAAAATGGGACCATAACCACATGCATAGAGACAAGGATTTACAATGTATCACAAAATGGAGGAATGGCTAGAATGGCCATATTAAGTCATTCAGTGCACTGCACCGTATACTTCTACCTTTCCAGGAGGTCATAGTCTGAATTCATACCGTACATGGCCTTGTCCACTGGCCTAATTTTAAAAATTGTAAACATGTAACAAAACATTTGACATTTCAACATTTTCACACGTACAATCTGGTGATGTATTCATGTTGTGCAATCACTATTGCTTATTTCAAAGTTTTTACATTGCCATTAAAAGCTCAGTGTCCCCTAAGCAATCAATTCCCCTGTCCTTCCCTCCCTCCAGTCCATCCCTGGTAACCACTAGTAAACTTAGATGTATATACACTTGCTTTTTCTAGATAGATGATATAAATGGAATCATAATTGTCCTTTTTGTGAATGACATTTCACTCTGATGTTTCTAAGGTTCATCCATGTAGTATCATGTACTGACTTCATTTCTCTTTATGGCTAAGTAATTACACTGTATGTACCTCGTTTTTATCCATTCATCTGTTGATGGACATTTAGGTTATTTCCATCTTGGCTATTGTGAATAGTGCTGCAATGAACATTGGTGTACATGTATGTTTTATCTTGTTATTTTTTGGTTATGCCAAAAAAACCCAAACCCATTGTCAAGTTGGTTGAGGCAAACTGATTCTGTAGGACAGTGAAGCTGCCTTATAGTGTTTCTAAGGTGGTAATTCTGTATGGAAGCAGACTGCCACATTTTTCTCCCGTGTAGTGGCTGGTGAGTTAGCTGAGCACTTAACCACTGTGCTTATATATTCCCTTATGACCCTGCAAGCTCATCCTTTCTGCTAGAAACTTCTTTCACATAACTGTCCTCCTCATTCAGGTCTCAA